ATATATATATATATATATATTAAGAATGGACTTAGTTTATATGTATTGTGTAACAAATATTGGAAGTACTCTACAATTATATTCCAAGAAGAAAATCACAATTACAACAACTTTTATTTAGTTAGGAGAAAACATTCAAGCATGGCCCGAGAACACAGTTATTTCATACTGCATTTCTTTTAGACAATAAATGAAAATTAAAAAATCCCACCTGCGCTTTCGCAACAATATCATGAATATTTTTACAATGAGGTGTACTACTTTTGGGACACATTATATCAAAATTATAGAAGACTTCATCAGCTCTAACTCAAAATATGGACAATTTTATGTTAAGGGGGTCTTGAATTCTTTTGACAACTTCCGAAATACTAATTTTTTAATCTTTTTTAGCTGAACCAAATCACAACTTTACTTTAAAATTCATGACCCTTTTTTTCACAGTGTAATTTCATCCCCCTACATGTTATTTGAGGCATGAATAAATAATTTTGAAAGGGGTTTAAAAAAATAGCAAGTTACACAGTGTCCACACTATGGATTATATGTGTAGACAACGAAAATCAAAGGACAATAACTGTGTAACTTTTGACATTAAAATTGAAGAATTTCAACTATCAACATTTGGGGCTTTAAAAATTCAAAAATAGCAAAAAAATACTTTTTAAATGCCCCAATATTTAATATATCATGTATTAAAAGCAAAAGAATACGCATTTGATGTATCAGATTTATTACCATTATTCAAAAGTCAAATTTATATGAGCCTGTGCCTGAAAATAGAGATTTTTTACATTTAAAAATGCATACTGAAGCTATAGAAAATACAAATTTGTTTCTGTTTGCTCATTTCTATACTCAGGTGACATGATACAAGAAGTCTGAGGACAAAGACCTCTTGCATTCAACTATTTTTGCAGAGAGTATGGTCTGATACAAAGACTTTTCACTTTTCAGTGAAAAACTTGCATGCAATTTTATTCTCAACAGGCATATATATAAACCACTTGATATCCTACCGAAGAAAAGAAAGATAGTATGTGAAATGAAACAGGTACAAAAGACATTGTAAAGTGCTTTTTATACAAATTTAGTGAAATCTTTATTATGGAATTCAACTTTTATGTACCAATCTCCTCTCATTTTACTTGCTTCAATCAGGCCGTTAGACGAGGATCATCCATACAGCACATTTTGCACATTTATTTTCTGTGATAATCTAGTTTTCTCTAGACTCACAGTTCACAAATGAATAATACAACTTGATAAAAGCGTAGAAACGCAAATATTGACACATGAACACCTGTCAGATAGATTGTCAGAATGCCACTTATGCATCAAAATTGAAAAGGCTTTGAAATGCTTATTTCGTAGACAACGAAAATCAAAGGACGATAACTGTGTTCCCAGACCTAATAGCAACACGAACAAAACAAAAGATTTTTAACTTTATTTTGTTTTAGCACTACTGACAAGAAGAAAGTGTTTGCATGAAGATGACGATTAGCTCGCTTCTTTCCAAAAACCATTTTTTTTTTAGTATACATATATTGAAATCTTTGGTTTTTTTAAGTAGGCTTAGTTGTAAAATATTGTGCCTTTCTTCTTACATTCATGTTTTCCAAGCTGTGCACTATTATTTTAAGGTTGCTGTCTATTGAGTTGAGACTTACACATTATTGTTTTTATTGATGAATCATCAGGTGATTTTTTATTCAAATACTATCTTAAAATTGGCTGTAGTTAAAGGAAATAAACTACTTAAAGAACAAAAGATTATAGAAAAAGCCAGCAATAAATTCACTGTTCGTCATGAAAAATAAAATTGTCTCTGGTTAATTTTATGATCTTTGTCCTAGTACAAGTACATGTTATAGGAAAACTTTACCTCAAGTCGGCCAACTAAAATAGCTATAGTTTCCTTCTAAAATTTATCAGAAAACCCTGGGTTTCATTTGACATTTGTGTTTTAATTTCTTTCATTATTACATTTTGTAATAATTAATGTTTTGCAGTTTTTACCAATGTTTAAGTCGATAAATAAATACCCAATATAACCTTTAAAAATGCATTTCTTAACATAATACAATATAGCATGTTGCTTCATACTTCTTTTTCAGATTGTTTTGAATATCCAGTAAAATCATGTGAGCAGGTACACGATAAATGGTGCAATTTAACATTTTTGGAAATCATAGTCGTGTGCGATACCTACAAGTATGACCCTTTGAAATTCACCCCTCAAGACAATTTACTGTTTTGCTGACATCTGTTTATTACCTATAGCATTTATAGTATGTACATGTATATTCTAATTTCTGATGATTACAAATACAATGTTAACATCTTGATTATTACCTATACTAATTTCACATTTGTATGGTTATAAAATTGAGAATGGAAATGGGGAATATGTCAAAGAGACAACAAACCGACCAAAGAGTAGACAACAGCCGAAGGCCACCAATGGGTCTTCAACGTAGCGAGAAAAACCCGCACCCGGAGGTGGTCCTCAGCTGGCCCCTAAACAAAATTGTGTACTAGTTCAGTGAAAATGGACGTCACACTAAACTCCAAAACATATAAATGAACTAAAATTAAAAAACATACAAGACTAACAAAGGCCAGAGGCTCCTGACTTGGGACTGGCGCAAAAATGCTTTGTGAGATCTCAACCCTCCCCCTATACCTCTAGCCAATATAGAATAAAGAAACACATAGTAATACGCACAGTCAAACTCAGTTATGAATTCATTTTCCTTAAATATATAGTACATCATGAATATGTGTACATGTATCATATATAGAAATATTTTTGAGGAATAAATTAACTTTAAAATTAATATTGAAACCGACATTGTATTAATTAGCTTATTTTCAAGATAATTATGAATTTTATGACAAATACGTAGATATCAAAGTTGTTTTACATATAATTGTTCAAAAAAATACGTAATATACTTAGGCCAAAAAAAATATATGTGTGTTTCCTGTTTCATGACTGAAAAAAATAGGGTAGGTAGGTAGGGTTTTTTTTTCTTTCGAAATGTATGTTTGTATGTGTGCCTATGATACATATACAGCAATAAAAGTGACATAAAAGTCAACCATGAATAGAACACCAATCATCAATAAAGTCTCACATATCAAGGTACTTAGGCTACATCCAGGGACTGAGCAAACAAAAATGGAGCATATACCAGGTGCACCGGTAGGGTAAATGTCCTCAGCTTTTCTAGAAATGTCATAATTGATGCATGAAGACAGATGCCAAGTGATTGCAAAAGTACAATTTGCACTTCTGACAAGATGGCAGGGCAAATACAATTTCAAATCACATGTCAAAATAACTCAACACCTTATTTTAATATATTGAACATATAAACACATTTCCAACAGACGAGTTCAATTGAGTTTGCAAGACCTTAGCATTTTTTGCCATAGGATCTTTGTACAATTGGATATTTCCCATTGATACGACATTCCCCACATATTGGGAGAACAGTTTTATATTGTTTTTGCAGTTCCTGATCCACCTCATCATTTTCTTCAATACAGTAGGAACATTGATCTAAAACTCCTAAACCACTTGAGTAGTACTGTAATTCTATGGGCGTTTGACATGTTAAATCATTTCTACACGTCACACTTTAAGAATCTTAAAGCTATTTGACTAGTAACTTTTAGATTGGATGCGGATGCGGCTAGCATGTGTGCCGCCATGTTGGGTGATATAATAATAAGAAATGAGGAACGGTTGCCGGAACAAGATCCGTGTAATTCCGGAATTTCCGATTTTTGCCGAAAAAAATGCTAGGGTCGGCAAATCGGCTTAAAAAAAATTGGGTTGGTTGGGAAACCGGAAACACACATTTTTTTGTTTTTACCTTAAAACATATAAATATGGTAAATCAAAAACAAATTTATCTCAAAACTTAATGATCACTTTTCCTGTACACTTTTGTCTAGGGCTTCCTGTCCTGCATTCTCCAACTGGTAATAAACTTGGATATAGTAGATAAGGAGATGTTGTATGATAAAAGTAAATGAGAAACTATCTACCCAAGACTAAAGGACAAGGATGTTAACAACTATCAGTCACTGTACAATAGTCAACAATGACCAAAGCCCATACCGTATTGTGTGGTCAGGATAAAGGGCACAGCATGAAAAATTCTGAAATTTTCATAAGAGAAAACTAATGCCATGAGTTAAATTATGTTCTAATTTATTTGAAAATCAGGAGATGTGGCATGATTGCCAATGAGACAACCATACACCAGAGTTCAAATGGCAAAGATATACATGATATAAGCAATTATAAGTCACCGTACGACCTTCAACAATGAAAAACCCTATAATGTATTATATAGTCAGCTATTAAATGTCCAACATGAAAAATGTGAAACAGTTTAAACATGTTAAATGAGAAAACTAAAGGCCTTTGAGATTATTTCATAATTTAAATCATAATTTATTTCAAGTGCACTATTTAAAAGATAAAGAGATGTGATATGATCTCCAATGAGACTATCTTCCAGACTGATCATTTAATAGCTAGTCAACAGATTGATGTAAAGTTCAACTTCACACGAAATTCATAAATTTCAAAAACATATAAAGAATTAGGGGTGACGCTAAATTCTACAATAAACTATACAGCCTTTTCTTCTTCTGTGTATCATTGTGTGTTGTTTTCCCCATACAAATTTAAAAATCAACGAGTATTGAAAACGAAAACACATAATTTCCTATAGATTTAGATTAACAAGCAAAATAGGTCAGTGTAGGTAAACAAATTCCTGAAAAGCATTATATATATTTTAATTGATTGGTGTTAAACGCCACTTTCAGCACTAGTATGACTTTTGTCATGATTGTGCTATTTCCTGGAGGTCTGTGTATATTGTTGGAGGAAGTTGGAGAGCCATGAGAGAACCACCAAACCTTTGCTAGTAAAACTGACAATCCTAGACAATTAAGATTGGAGTATAACGCAGTGATGTTAAGGCAATTTCGATTAGATTTGGTCAGGGGCAGATAACCCCGCAGGTACCTCATTATGTATTCATATATTCATTAATGGCGGAGAGTACCTAAGCCGCGTCTATCGATAAAACTGTATGAAATCAAATTACATACATGCCTGTTAATTAAAAACAGGTATCCATATGGTGTAATTTGTTTACTGAAACACGAATATTGTATGTTTGTGCTTTAATTATTATGGTAAACGGTTGCAATAGCTGTTTTTTGTGCCAAGATTGTCGGCTTGTGGACACCGCCTCCTTTTGATGATCAACCAATCAGTAGACGATCGCCGTCGAACAAATGTTTGTAGTTTGCAGAATGGAAAGCACCTTGCAGCGGAAATTGTTTTCACTTCTACGTGAAAATCTAGCCAGAAAAGTAAGTGTAAGCCACCAAATATGTAAAATTTATGAAACATACGTTGCTTGTTTTGTTAATCATTCGCTTCAGAAGGCGAAAAACGTCACAGTATTAGATAAAACGAGTTCAGTGTTGGCAAGCATGTTACACACGTGGTCAAAACGAAACTAGACTGCAAAAAATATCTGAAATTTGAATAATTTATCACGTCCCGTCAGTAAATGAACAGAATATCGAATGAAACAAGTTCCCTGCATTATACCAAGAGCACATTCTCAACATTTACCCTGAAATTCATTTCTAATTTACGTTTTGCAGGTTTCCTGGTTGGGTACATCTGTAAATTATAACAAAGTTTGCTCAACCGTTGACTTCCGTCCGGAGCCCACGTTGCTGGAGCCATGATCCCTACCTTCAAATCATGGAGCCCCTAATTTGAAGCTTAGGCCACAAAAACTTGCTCAAAGGAACCCTGAACACGTTATTTGGAGCTCAGTCACATATGGTGTAACCCCCCCTCCCCCCAAACCAACCAACCAACCAAACCAATTCAAATGTGAAGTCCATAGTATAATATTTTCTGCCGAATGCTGACGGTATATTTCAACTTTGAATTTTATAGATCCCTACTTGGAAGTTAACAGCGTTAACGCCACCCCCTCCCCGATATCTGAAACATTAAAAACAGCCTATTATTTAGACTTATCGTGCACCGTGCGTCTTTCTCTGGAAAATGCCTGCACCGTGAATAAGTTATTTTTGAACCAGTATTTTTAAAATCCAGAACCAAGTCAGCAATATGACCAATTGCAAGTTTATATACTTGTTGGTTATAAAATACATGAGAACAATTTTGAACATGATAGTCCAAATAATATTATTTTTCTTGAAAGGCTTTGTTAATGATTTACTGTGACACTTCATATGACCGTCATTCTAAGGAATGAATCCCAGCAAAAAATTAAGGAAGCCTCTCATGACACAATAATAATAGACTTATTAATATCATGACTGCCCACGTTGACATATTCTTTTTAGATATGGTTATCATCAGTATTCAAATGAAAAAGAGCACTGCTTGCATGCTGATGATGTATTGCGTCACAGTACCCAAATTGCACCTATTTAGCAAATCTTACAAGTTTTCTAAGGCACTAAACAATTTGTATTTTTTTAAAGTATTTGACATTATGCACGTTTTTCTAATACATGTAGGTAAATATATTTAAATATTCACAAAACGTTTACAGTATATATATATCAACAGATGAAGTATTCACTGGAAAAGTATGCGATGTTCACAAAAAGTCATCTTTTAAAAATGAGCAAATAGAATATGTTATTCCATACGAGTATTAATTTTCTTAAAAATTGAATAGCAAGCATGGACTTAAATGTCAAATTGTTCTAAATATTATAAGAAATAAAACAAAACATCTGTTATTCGAATTTCAAGGATAGGAATTAAAGCATGGATGCATTTTGGGTACTCCTCATTACAGAATCATGGATTGTTTGGAGGTCGGTTTAAACCCATTTTTCTATGATCCAATATGGATTCAAAATTAAATTGGTGGAACTAAATAGTAAATAAGGATACATCTACAAAATAAACACAGAATGGAAACTTTTGTCTGGATCTTAAAAAAATGTATGTGAAAAAACTGTCAAAATAGGTGCAATTTGAGTACCTCGGCTCACGTTATATACAGTTACAACAGACATTGACAAGGCAGTAAATTATTGTACTATAAATTCAGAAGAATTGCGATTTATCCGATGAATATCGCAATTATAATTAACCTCACATTTTTATACGCCCGTTTACGGGGCGTATTATGGTATACCGTTGTCCGTCTGTCCGTCAGTCATCAACATGTCGGACATTAACTCAAAAATGCTTTAACAAATTTTCATGAAACTTTGGTGAAATGTAACATAAGCTCCTACACAATTTTTATATATTTAAGATTTTACTTTTTCGAGTTCTGGGATTTTATTCTTAAAAATTATTCATGATTTGTTCCTCTGTGTGCTGGTGTGTGCATGTTTTTTTGTGTGAAGGAAATCCAGATATCAATTCGGGGTTGGGTGGCAGACGTAATTTCTGTATTTGATATGTTATATTTATTCATGTATCGTGTTACGTTATGATGATGATGATTCATTGTAATTAATCTGCTCCTTATTTTAAAAAAAGCATCTGTATTTGTATTAAAAAAAATACTTTCTCTTATTTTTAGCTGACCTGTCAAATATAAGAAACAGAATGCTATTCCAGCTTTGATGAACTATAAAGTAATGGTTTGAATTTGAAAAGCTTTATTATTAGACAGGTAAATTGTATTTTTTCTTTTTGCTGGCTATTAAAACTGGTTATCCCTTGTTTTTGTATATCAAATCAATCTGCACCAAAATCTTTTACTACTACTAGTTAGAAGACCAAATCTATTAATATAAAGATAAGAAGATGTGGTATGACTGCAATTGGAAAACTATCCAACAGAGACCAAATGATGTAGATGAAAGCATCTATATATAGGTTGCTTTGCTGTCTTCAACAACAGTGGTGTCACAGTACAACATAAGAACAAACTGTAAAAGTTATTGAAATAGGCTTGACAATTAACTTGTCAGATCAACACGTATATGTTGCACAAAAAAAGGGCACAAAGTACTTGCAGTTACTAAAAGCTAGTTCAACGCTAATTACAACTTATAGAAAGGGCAAGTTTCTAAGACAAAAAGAATCGGTACACATTAATAATCCCATAATTAAATATTACCAACCATTTTACTATACAAATACAGGTGTTCAGATAATCTGACTGAAGCGATAAAGCTATATTATATATATAGTAATATATATATATATATATATATATATATTCTACTGGTATCCTGCTTCTGTTGCTTGGAGTTGGAAACAGTTATGTCATCAAATTACTAAAAAAAGCTATTTTACAGCTCAATTTTGTGTCCTCTTTACAGTCCACATTAAAGCAAATGTTACGAACAAAATGACGAATAGGAGAAAAGCTATGCAAGCCTTGCTTTTCTTCCTCTTTTATAATTTGTGCAAATAAATTTCTGTTGCCGTACAATGTAAGAATATTGTATGGTGTAAATTCAGAAATTATTGCAATTTTTTTTTAAGGCAACTTTGTGAGTATCAAAATAATAAGAAGTCACATTCTGATATCCAATACATATAACTGTAACTGTATTTTTCTAAATTAACAATAATTAATCTTGCATTTTTGTCCATTCTTCAAAAAATGCAATAATAAATGCACACAATAATTTCTGAATTTAATAACGTACATGTATCTTTACCAACAATAAACTTTATTAGGGCCCCGCCGAATGGCTGGTCGCCCTATAGTGATCAGTCTGTCCATCGGTCATGTGTCGGTCCATACGTAACAAATTGTGTCCGCTCTATATCTAGAGAACCGTTATGATTTCATACTTTATACTTGACATGTATATTAACCAACACCAGAGGGTGTGTCATAATTTTTGTACAACTTCTTAGGTCAAAGGTCAAGGTAAAAAACTTTGGTTTCAGATGACAACAACATGTCCTATGGTAAAGATACAAATTTTTTACCACACGTTATTCACAGCGGGGCACACAGAGATAGCTCCCATCTCAATGATGTCTAGTTTACACAGATATTATTAAAAATGTACTAAGCTTGATTGCTAAAAGTTCTTAGCTGTGGTTTAAGTGCATTACATATATTGATATTGCAGTATAGGTCCCTGCCTTATTCATGTCATATTTTACATTTGGGAAAGGAGATACAAAACAATGTAGTTAAACATAATATGGGTATTATGTTTTTCGGTCTGTGCATCCGTTCTTTCGTCCGTCAGTCTGTCACGCTTCAGATTTAAGTTTTTGGTCAAGGTAGTTTTTGCTGAAGTTGAAGTCCAATCAACTTGAAACTCAGTACACATGTTCCCTATGATATGACCTTTCTTATTTGAATGCCAAATGAAAGTTTTGACCCCAATTTCACAAACATAGAAAATAATAGTTCGAGTGGGGCATCCATGAACTATGGACACATTCTTGTTTAATTTATTACATAATACATCTAATAGGCTGCCTATAAGATGTATTATGTGTTAAATTTTAAAAGTAAATAAAAGTAGTGCACCTTATTAAAATGTGTACGACTAATGAGGAAATTAAATTCTTGTTCAAATGTTGAATGAACTTCAATGAAGACATTATTAAATTTAGGACATGTAGGACAGGGGAATTATTTTGTTAGCATTTTCACAGTAACTTGTTGAAGTTGAACTTTTGATCACTTTTCCCATGTTAAAAATTTCATTTAATATAATTATTATATATATATATGCATTTTCATATTTCAGGGATGATGACCTGCAGTGAGACAGCAGTAGAAAGTTACATATAGCTCATCATGACCATTATGAAAGATCAGATCAGATGAAAATTATGTTTAGAAAGCCACCAAATATGTCTATGAAAAGTAGAAAAAAGACAGCAATTCTATGTAAAGTACTTACCAGAAGCATTGGCTGTTTCAATACCAATGTCAGAGTTGGAATTTAGTGTTTTGATGCTGAGAGATATTAACTGGACAATTTAGCTTCTTTTTTATGTGTCATTGAAGTTTATGTTTACCATCTTAAAAAGCTTTTACCACAGTTAAAATGAGTTCTAAATACCATGAATACAGGCAGTTTGGAGATTTGTGAATTTTCCTACAATTGGAGTTTCAAAATGGATTTCATTTAAAAAAATTATTTATTTCATGGATGAAATTTGTCGTCTCTTTCATGAAATATTTGAAAAATCAGCAATATATTTTTAGCAATACCTAACCAAATGAGAGATCTACAGATAGACATATGAATTTCAGTTGAACTGTGAGGAAGGAAATATTCATTAATAAGACTTATATAAGTGTTTTTTTTTTTTTATGGCAATTACGGGAAAGATGAAGCAATTCGATTTAAACATGACTCATACCTACAGATATACATGAGATATAGGCAGACAATTTACTGATGCACCACTAATGGATATACATGTAATTATAAAACTAAGAAGATGTGGTACAATTGCCAATGAAACAACTCTCCACCAGATAACAAATAGTCATATTTTATAACCACTTACATTTCAATTTCATTTCATAACACAGCATACAGGTATACAAAAAGTTCAAACGCATAGAAAAAGTGTTTTTATTGCAATTGTTGTTGTTCATCTTATGGTCACATTGAGGTGGGCCTTCAATACTGAGCAAGACCACTGGAACAGCAACAGAATGTTTGAAAAAAGAAATCTGGTAATTTTCTTTGCTTGTATATATATCATGTAGCTGCCATTATGTACATGTACATACATGTATCTAGTTTTGTCTATATACTTGGAAATCAGAAAATTTTGCAATGTTTTCATTTCTTGTCTAAATTGAAATTGGTTATACGTTTTGCAAAAAAATCATGTAAATTTATTTAAATGATGGTATTATTTGTATCCAGCATTTTCTGAAACTGCAATAATTAATCTCGCATTTTTTGTTCTGGCATTGTTCAATAATTATAATTATCATGATTATCTTGATAATAAATTTACGCAAAAGTTTCTGAGTTTACAATAGTTATCAGGTTATATCTTTTTGAAGGATACCTAACTTGGAAACTTGTGAAGGAATATTTTCATAGTATTAGAGATTATTATATATAGTTTGTTTAGCAAAATATGTTGGGTATACATGTATGGCCATTAGACAGCATCCCCAACACAGACATAAATTGTTTTTTTCTAACTTTGAAATTGCGTACATGTTTGGTAATACAGCTAGAATTTAATATAAAATAAGAAGATGTGGTATAATTGCCAATGAAGTTTTGATTAACAATTACATGAATTAAGTCATTTTACTTTTTGTGATTGGGTCAGGTTAAGATTACCCACTGATTGTACCCTTGTCAATGATATGTGTAGGCAGTACTAGTATGTAGTTTTATTAGCATTTACATATTTTCATTTCCATGCTGACTATTTTTCCCTGTCACCTATGTGATGATTCATTCACTTGAAACTTTTGGATTGTTTACATGTATATGCAAAAATTGTGATTCAGTCAGTCATTTCTGTATATTTATATTTTATTTTATATATATATATATATATATATTTACCGGTACATAGAAATTATAAGTCCCCTACCGCACTCTGTTGTCCATCCGTCAGTCCGGCAAATCAGTTTTCCACACTTTTTTTCTTCGTGCTTTCTGATATTGATTTGATATTTGGTATATTGTTTTATCATGACAAGTTACAGATCAAGTTCAAATTTTGTTCCGGTCTGATAATTTTGTGCAGAGTTATGGTCCTTGGACTTAGAAAATTCACTCAAATATTCAGTTTTCCGCACTTTTTTTCATCATGCTTGAAGATATTGATTTAATATTTGTTATATAGTTTACACCATGACAAGTTATAGATCAGGTTCGCATTTTGTTCCAGTACAATTAATTTTTAACCGGTAGGGGACTTGTGTATTGCTATGTATTGCCATGCAATACTCTGGGAATGCTTGTTTTATTTTGACAGAAAAAAAATCTAATTACCATAGCTACCAATCAGTTGCTTCCAATTTCAGCAGGTCTTGGGAAATATGGTTTCTGATTTTAACATGTTTAACGATGAACCTTAAAATTATATGGCACTTTATCATGTAAAAACAATTGATTGCTTGTGTTGGATGTCAGTTAGCACTTCTGGCTATTTCTTCGGTGGCTGTCCATTTTTATTGTTGGCACTCGGGTAGGGAGAAACTTAACATGTGAATGAGCGGCTGAAAAAAATAGATCACTATTTGCAGCTTCATGGTATACTATAATGTTGAGAATTTAAGATGATATATATGACAAGGTTGCTGATTGAAGCATAGGTACATGTATCTGAAACTAATCCAATCTGGGTTTTTTTCACAGATGCGATTAAAATTAGTCGTAAATGCATTCGATATTTGTCAAATCTGTTAATCGCTCCATGATATAGTGCAAGCATAAAGCATGAGAGATAAAGGTATATTTTTAAGGATGGGTTACTCGATATCTCGGTTGCTTATCCTTACCCCAAAAAGGTAGTAAGTGTTTATATTAACAGTTACTCATTCTAGGAAAAGGGAATTGTATCCCCCATGTTAATGCTGTTGTGTGCTTTTGAATATTCCAAACAAAAATAAGTAAGGAGGGCAGAATGATTTTACCAAGTAAAAATGTTGAAATAAGAAAAATATTGCTTCAGATGGGATGAAAAGGAATCTTCTGTCCAACAAAATGCAGAAAATCATTAGGGACAAAATCAAAAAGTGCAAGCTGTACATAATACTGGCTTGGTAACTACATGGTAGAAATGAATATTCAGAGGCAAAAAATCACAAGAAATTCAAAAAGACCTCCCAATCATGATTTACAAATTGATACCAGTTCTCACTTGAGACATTCAACAAATAAAATCTGAATATTTATATGCAGGTAGGAAGTTTATATTTATAATTTATGTACACATTATCAATGACGAAGAGCAAACAAATAATACAAGTGAATTCATGAATTTTGGTGAGTTCTTTGTGAAAATGCAACTTTTTTTTAATAATATGTTAATTATACATGTATAATGATTTACAATATATACAAATTTGATGTACTAGGAGAGACCTTATTATGCTTTTAATTTTTATAATGAACTTGCATTTGCAAAATGAGAACTACACTAGGACCCCTGATCAGATGTGGATTCCGGATTTTGAAAAAAGTGGGGACTCCGGGTTCCCCAACACTAAGCGACGTTTGGAGTGGGACATGTAAAAAGTGTATGCATTAACCATATAATGGTTGATCCACAAGGGGGCCCGAGCCCACCTGAATCCGCCTCTGCCATTTGCGATGATACACCAGAGGTTCGAACATGAAAATACTTGGCAATTAATGCATTGGTATACAAAATTTGTGGAACACATACTGTGTAGGAGGGGTAGTGCTAGGATATTTATCTTATTATTTTTGTTCGCCAACCAGTTCTCGGGTAATTTTTATCTCTGTTATCTAGCTTGTACGACCTCGTATATATATTTGAATCTTCCAAGAAAACTGGATAACTTGGGCATATCTTCAAATATTTCATTTTTATAGAAATTAATTGCAAATTATGAAGAAAAAAACGAATGTTTCATCGATGGTAATAATAAAGTTTTATACTCCCAACTTCCCCGTTTCCAGGTTGTTGGCCCGTCTTATTCCGTCTTTGCTTTTCTCCGTCTTTTGTGCGTTTGTATTTTATCTTGGAAACTAAAAACAATCAACAACTATTTTTTATACGAAAAGTGCAGGTTGAAGATCAATGAGTACCTCTTAATTTCAGACATGTAAAGATTCAGCAGATGTTGCAGTTTATAAAAAAGTGCTGTTACAAATCAAAATAGTTGTGGATCATTTTTCTAGCGCCATCGGGATGGTATTTTTTTGCCTTTTTATGCCATTTTACTCGTAAAAGTTGATCGATTTTCAATTTAAAGGTGAATATTGAACTTGTAACAGCAGTTTTTATATAAAGTGTACCTAGTAGTGTCTAGAATTCCTTGGTTGGCGTTTGTACGTGGTTATCTTCAACCTGCACTTTTCACTTTTGTGATCGCTAAGGTTGTTTTTGGATTAGTGGTCACGTGACTACTTTCACTTTACTGCAAGACCTTACAATGTAATAAAACTGTTTACATGTATGTTTTTTTTTTGGAAATAAAGACATTGGCATATACTTTTAACCAAGTTATAGGTGATAACAAGCGTGTTTTTTGCAGATACAAATTATGGCCAAAATTAATTGATTTTTCTTCAATGTGCCTTAACCTCGCTGCGAATTTAGTAGCATGCTAAATATACAGGTAGATCTACAGGTTAAAGTTGCACAAATGTGATATTTTTTTTGTGTGCAAATGTAACATGTTAATCCCCAAATTCATGCAAATGTAATAGACCCGTTTTTTGCAGTTTTAGACATGTACCTGTCAGAAAGAGAAATTGTTAAGAAATATCATGGGATATGACAAAACAATGTCTTACCGATGGTAAATGTTATATTTTTTCCTACTAGAATTCATCATTGCATTCAGTTTAGTTGTATAGGAAAAACATATTTTTTAATGGGAAATTTTCAAACCGAAAGGGACACAACTGGGCCACTTTTACATAACAAAGTGATTTTGTTTACATCAAAATAAACGACTTTCGAGTTTGTGCACTTTCCAGTAAATTTCATATGTCACAATGCTTATGTTAATATGTCACAGTAGGATATGATTGCGCGCGGCAGCAATTCGGTATCTCCTTCTTAAAAAAACTTGAGATTTGTGTATACACATGTTTATAAAGATAAAACTTTGACTTCTGATTGTATAAATAAAATATTGAAAAACCATTTAAAGCAAATGCTTTACTTTTTCCATATAAAACAATGTTAAGTTCTATTCGTCCGATCTTGGACA